CGCCGTCGGGGAGACGGCGGCCCGGCACGAGGACGCCATCGCCGCGCAGCGACGAACCCACGAGGCCGCCGTCGAGGAGACGGTCGCACGACACGAGGACGCGGTCGCCGCGCAGCGACGAACCCACGAGGCAACCGTCGAGGAGACGGTCGCGCGACACGAGGAACAGCTCGCGGCCCAGCAGCGCAAGCACGAGGCCGACCTCCAGTCGGCGACGGCGACCCTCGAGGTCGACAAGGACCGCGAGCATTCGTCGCGGCTGACCGACGCCATGAGGAGTCGCGACGACGCCCACGCCAAGGAACGCCAGGACCTGGAAGCGAGCCTCGCGGAGCGTCACAAGAACGAGCTCGCGGCTCGGGATGCCGCCCACGCCGAGGCGGTTGCGGGGCTCCAGTCGCAGCACGACAGCAAGGTCGCGTCGATGCAGGAAGGCCACGCGGCCACTCTCGCGTCGGCCACCGAGATGCTCGCTCTGGAGAAGGATCACGATCACAGCAGCGCGCTCGTGTCGGCGCTCCGAGCCCGCGACGACGAGCACGCCAAAGCGATGGACTCGCGCGAGAAGGAGCTCGCCGACAAGCACGCCGCGGCGCTCGCGGAGCAAAAGTCGTCGCTGTCCCAGTCGCACGAAGACACCGTCGGGGAGACGGTGGCTCGGCACGAGGACGCGATGGCGACGCAGCAGCGCAAGCACGAGGCGGAGCTCGAGTCCGCGCTGTCGGCCCTCGATGCCGACAAGGAACGCGAGCACGCCCAAAAGCTCGCGGAGGTCCTCCGCGATCAAGCGAGCGCCGACAGCGATACGCGACAGGCCCTGGAAGCGAACCTCGCCGACAGACACGCCGAGGCGCTGACTGCTCTCGGCCAGAGACACGAAGCCGCCGTCGCGTCGTTGCAGGGATCACACTCGGATGCCCTCGAGGATACCCAGCGACGACACGAAGAGCAGCGAGCGTCGACGGAATCGAGGCACGCGGCCGAGCTGGCGAGCGCCGTGGAGTCGGCCGCCGCGGAGAAGGACCAGGAGCGCACGGCCCAGCTCAAGGAGAAAGCCAGCGATCACGCGGCGGCCCTCAAGGCGCGCGAGGACGAGCTCGTCGCCGCGCACGAGGCCGAGCTGAAAGATCGGGCCGAAAAGCACGCGGCGGAGCTCGAGCAAGCCCAGCAGGCGCACCAGCAGCAGCAGGACGTGCTTCGAGCGAAGCACGATACCGAGCTCGCGTCGGCGACGGAGATGCTCGCGCTCGAGAAGGACCACGACCACAGTTCAGCGCTCGTGTCCGCGCTGCGCGCTCGGGACGACGAGCACGCCGCGGCGATGGAGAGTCGCGAGAAGGAACTCGTCGAGAGACACGCCGCGGCGCTCGCCGAGCAAAAGGCGTCGCTGTCCAAGTCGCACGAGGACACCGTTGGGGAGACGGTGGCCCGGCACGAGGACGCGATCGCCGCGCAAAGAAGAACGCACGAGACGGCCGTCGGGGAGACGGCCGCTCGGCACGAGGAACAGCTCGCGGCCCAGCAGCGCAAGCACGAGGCCGACCTCCAGTCAACCACCGCCGCTCTCGAGGTCGACAAGGACCGCGAGCATTCGTCGCGGCTGACCGACGCCGTGAGGAGTCGCGACGACGCCCACGCGAAGGAACGCCAGGACCTGGAAGCGAGCCTCGCGGAGCGACATCGGAGCGAGCTCGAAGCCCGGGATGCCGCCCACGCCGAGGCGCTTGCAGCGCTGCAGTCGCAGCACGACGCCAAGGTCGGCACCATGCAGGACAATCACGCTACTCGCTCGCTC